GAAATGTGTTCCTCGAAAGATGAAGACACCATTAATAGTCCATGCGTAATAGCAAGGGCGTTTTACATTACCTAGGGCCACCTTCGACATCCTAGGTGGTGGTAGCTTCGTTACTGGTTGGTCACAAGTTACATGTCACTGACATTGCCATCGTGTTGGTAAACCAAAGGCTACAGCGCAGCGTGCAACCATTCAGTCGTCCTCATATCTTTCTCTGCAATTGACAGCCATGTCATTGTTGTAATTAGCTTCGTGCTGGTTCCCGTCGTTCTTCCGGTTCATTCTCGATCACGGTCGACGGGTTGGCCATGTGAGAACTGGTGCTTGGCCTCTTCTGCAAAACAAGATGCCGCAATGGGGCTCAAAGCAGTAATGTAACCAGCATCAATCTACTTTGTTATCAACCTTTAGAAAGCTTTAAAGATGCACACAGGAAATATGATTAACCTGTAAAATAAAATTGGACTTTTGACATGTTCAGAATCACATGGAAAATTGAACAGAAGGATGGAATTGAGAATTTACCTATCACAATCAGATGCATCCGCTAGCCTTGCAATTGCATCCATCAATGCCTGTTCGTGCTCCTGCATGCAAACGAAATGCCTTGATTAGTTTTTCATGAGACAGATAACTGCTCATTAGTAGTAAAGTTCTCTTTTATAATTATAACCACATACTTTCAACATTTTCTTGGCTTTGTCAATCTCGAGAGTATCAATATGACTTTCACCAAGAAGTTTCTCTACCTGGGATGCACAAGAATGACATGAAAAAAAATATATCAGATGTGTTCTCCCTGACAAAATCAACAATCCCAGTCAGTTTCTAAGCACATACTTCCTTTATTAGAGTTTCAGTGTGGAGTATTTCAATATCACCAGTGCTCTTCTTCGCATTGCCATTTTGGGATGGGGGAAAATCTCTCTTCGTCTGACTCTTCAGGGATCCTCTTCCCCTTCCTGCACCTGGAATTCCACCACCGTGGCCTGTGGTCCTCTTAACCCCATGATGTGGTGGACCTTGACCAGACTGATGAGTGATACCTGGATCCTCACCCTCCCATCTTACATCTTCTGGACAAATCTGCAACAATCAAAACTGTCATTATCTGTGTTAATATCATAAACTATGGTAATACGATTACTAGCTCACCTCTTTGAGATTGACCCATTTCCATGTCTCATTGTCCGTGCCAATATCATAAACTAAAGCATGCAGACCCTGGCAACAATCCCAAAAAAAGATGAGGACGACTATTACATTATCATATAAAATAAAATGTATACAACTAATAAACACACCTCAAGTGGATTATAATCAGTTATAACAGCTTCATAAAAATTATCATCTTCGGGCCATCTAGTCATGACTTTCCGCCCAATTAGTGGATCGAGTGATGCTGGCTCAGGAGTTTCACCTGCTGCAAAAGCAACAGAATATTTCCTATTGGAAATTTGGACCCTTCCACTAGGACCTGCAGAAGGGTACTGCATGGATTTCACCGAAGATGCACCAGATAATGTCCAACCCTAAAACTTAGAGATTATTAATAGAAGAACATTGAAACAAAAAAAGATGATTAAAGAAATAACTTACTATTACAACTCAAAAACTTACTGATTTAGGCTTCTTGGATTTGGTTCCTGCAGCAGCTCCACTTTTTGCAATTGATGATGAAGGCTGCATGGAAGCAGCAAGTTGTGAGTGCAGTGCAGGAGATGGTGCACCTACTGAGACAGTAGATATAGGCTGAGATATCTTCTGCCTCTTTTGAGATGCTGAAACATTAGGCGCTGCTACATCTGGTTGAGCATTACCAAGCATTCCAGTTTTGAGTCCACCTGCCTGCCTCCATTCTCTAGTCGAAGTTGGCAAACAGCACGCACAAGAAATGAGGATGGCATAAAGAAAGTTAAAAACATGTTTTAATTAGATAGTTGTAAATATAGACTCAGAACACATTCAGTTACAGACCTTATTCTCTGAATAATGTCATCGGCATTAACCCTGCTCAATAGTTCTCTGTGTTCCTCATCTGATACTCTCAGCTCCTTTCTGAGCTCAGTTATAAGATCTTCCTTCTCCTGAACACATACTTTTCATGACACATCAATAAAAAAGGATACAAGAGTAAATTAATGGGCAGCGACAGAGTTACATTAATGTGGAATCTAGGTTATCTACTACCCAAGTAATGGCATCAGATTGAGCCTTAAACGCTCGAAGAACTGAACTATATGCATCTTGCTCGAGCCGATGTATTTGAACTTCCATATCATTTGGTATGTTAGCATATGGAATAGCACCAATCATCGCTCTTCCATTCCCATTCACACATACTCCTCTTGCACCCCTATTATAATGAGATGGTGGAAGATCATCATCAGTTCCTGCAGTCAATGCAGCACTAATAAAATCAATAACCATATTGAGAATTCAACAAAAGAAAATTTAAAGGAAGCATGACAATTAGCTTTATTTATAGATAAGGTGCTTGGTCATGGAAAAATGGCCTCTATA